TGGCAGGAGTCAGAATGCACCTCAAGCTCAGGAATGGGAATGTGTGCAAAGCACAAACCCCTGGCGGAGGTGCAGTCTATGCGATAGATTCCCAGGACGCAGAAGACCCTGGGGCGGGGAGCCTGGGGAGCGGGTAACAGAATGGGAATGGGAAAGTCATTAGGTTCCAAGAAGGCCAGGAGAAGCTGCACACACAGGTGGCGCATGGATAGAAACGGGGGACACGATACCAGGTGGCACACGGGATCGCCCACTGATGCACAAAGATGACGCTGGAAAGACTGCATGAGACAAGACAGATGTCTGCCTAATGGGCACCGCCTCCTGAGTCCAGATGTTAGACGGCCACAGGCCACAAACAGTTCAAGTGGATCTCGAGGAAAGAGGAGGGAGTCCACCACATAGGGCTGCCAGGCTCCCTGGAGTCCCTGCTCCCTCTCATTCACACACTGGGACTTCCACATGACCAGCAGGGAACAGCTCCTGGGGGGGGGCTACCCACGGGAAACCCCAGCTCAGGAGATCCCTGCAAAGGAGTCAGAGACTAAAAATAACACTACTGAGCAGACAGGGAGGGAAGGCTGGCACCTCTCCCCTTCCTGGGGGCTGCACTTCAATCCCATCCAAAGGTGACTCTAAATAAAGCTGATAAAAATACGTTTTTTCCAAGGGTAGAGTGACCATTGAGAGTCTCACCAAACTGACTGACTTGGGCTGGCTGGATGAGGCCCACCCACACGAGGGAGGTGCTATCTGCTTTACTCAGTCTACCAGCTTAAATCTCATCCAAAGACACTATCATCGAAACACCCAGAAATAATGTTTGACCAAACACGTGGGCACTTAATGGTCCAGTCAAGTTGACCCATACAATTAACCACCTCAAGACCAAGGGAGAGACTCAGGGTCACACCTGCACATGCAAAGACACCTGGCTCATGACAAAGGTAACATATATAGAGAGAGGGAAGTGATTTCCCACCAGTGGTGCTGGGCATGGGGCGGCCACAGGGACACAGTGTGAAAGCCAACTCTGACCTTTGCCCACACAAGCACAGCTGCAGGGGGACCCCAGAACTGCACAAGGAAAGCAACACGGCCGGGGAGCACAGCATTCCCCAGGTAAGATGTAAAATGCTAACCTCAAAGGGAAAGAGCCGTAAGTTTAACTAGAATAGAGCTAAAAATAATGCCTCCTTTAAAAGACAGTAAAGGAACATAAACACAGGTCACAGGCTGGAACCAAGAGCTGCCACACTGAGGTTTCTTCAAAAGTACCTATGTCCAACATACATAAAGAGTTTCTACAAACCAACAAGGAAAGAAATTTTAGAAGGAAAACAATTAAGAAACTTGAACAGGGATTTGACAAAATCAAAGTTCAACTTCAGGAAAAACAAACAAAAACCACGCTAGACACTAGCACATGCCCATCAGGGTAACCGGAGGCTTGGAAGTCTGACAGGATCAAGTGACAGGGAACCCTCAGGTGTGGACCATAGAAATTGAAGCTGCTGCCACTACCAGGGGGAAAATCAGCATGAGCCAGTAAAATTAGGATACACACATCCCACACCCTGCCATTTCTCCTGTCTATGAAATACACGCTTCAGACACTAGATTGACCCTAATTCCCCCGAACTGGAAACAAATTCCCATCAAAAGTAGAGTGGATAAAAAGTACAAATCACGTACCCAACATCATGGATGAATCTTGGCAACACAGTATTAAATAAAATAAATCATACACAGAAGAATGCACACTGTATTCCTCCATTTCTATCAAAAAACAAGCCAGACTGCATAATTCAGTGATAGAAACATAAAGCAACACAAATAAAAGTCAGGTTAGTGGTCACTACTGGGGGAAAACAAGGGGAATACCAGCAGGAAGCAGGAAGCATCTAGAAGCCAGGCAAAATGTACCCCAGCTCCTAGTCTGCAACAATTTGTTAAGCTTGACATTTATGCTTTGTGCATTTTTCTGCATGTTTGTTAGATTTTGCAATTTTAAAGGTTTTAAAAGAAGGAGAAAACAGAAGACTGAGGCCAGCTGGACGCTGTTCAGCACTTCCTGCTGAGAGGACTGAGGACAGAGCACGGCCCTGCGGCCCTCTGCTCATGGCACCCTACTGTTTCTTCTCATCCAGGTGAGAAACAGCAGTGGGACCCTCTTACCCAGGGAGGAAAGGCTGCCCCTAAGTTTGGCAGGCCTGGGAAACTCCGCTCTGACTGTAAGAGAGCAGACTCTTTCAGGTTCAATGCTCTGTCCTTAGCTTCTATCACAATGCCTGGCAAACAGTCTACATTCAAAAGTATGTGTTCAGTGCATTCACCAGTAAAATCAAGTTGTTCAAGAATCAAATATTCTGAAAGGTGTGAGAGAGTCCTGGGACCTTAACCAGTCTCTGTAAAAATAGCCACTCACATCATGTTATTTGATAGCACATTCTGAGTATCAGTGAAACTCCAAAAACCTTATCAATGTGTTTCCAGAGTAACATGTGGCAACATATATCCAAGCCTCAAACAGAATTTTTATTTCTTCTCTGTGTTAAAAAGATAACCCAGGATAACATTTTCAAATTTAAGAATTAATCTAGGGCAGGTGCAGTGGCACACACCTGTAATCCCAATGGCACAAGAGACTGAGGCAGAAGGATAGAAAGTTCAAAGCCAGCCTCAGCATCTTAGGGAGGCCCTAAGCAACTCAGTGAGATTCTGTCTCTAAATAAAATAAGAAAGCGGGGTGGTGTGTGTGGGGGGGGTGGCTCTGTAGTTAAGTGCCCCTGGGTTCAATCCCTGGTACCAAAAACAAAAAAAAAGAACTGGTCTGGAATTTTTTTTGGATTTTATAATGTAATAGAAGATCTACAGGAGCATATACTTTACTTCTGCTGACCCTGCTCGAAGCACTGGGCAGGAATGGGAACTGCTGGAGGCAGGCGCTCCTGCTTCCCTCCTGTCCCTGGACTCGTTCTCAGGGCTCCAAGGCTCCTCTCTGGAGCCCCTCTTCCTGTCTGGGTGGTCTGGCCTCACCCAAGGCTCCCACACCATGTTCCCCATTCACCATTCACTTCCAGCCCCTTCATCAGCAGTCAGCTCCCTCTCCGAGAAGGGAACTATCAACTCTCCTCTGCACATCTCCACCCACACCTCAGGACAGCCGCTCTTAAGCTGCCAGGATCTCTTTTGGATTTACCTTATTTAATAAAACAGGGTATAAATACTGTCTCCCTTCTCTCTCTCTCTCAGGCACTCATGATTTCTCACCTTTAACTGTGCAACAGCCCCCAAAGTGCTACCTTCTTGCTCTTCCAAAGAGCTGTTAGTACCCAAACCTCACATCTGGCCAAATGGTTTCTCTGTTTAAATACTCTGATGGTTTCCCTACCACCCTTAAGATAAAATAAATCCTCCTTACAGTGGTACTGAGGTCCATCTCCCCAGCTCCATGCTTCATTGCACCCCACAGATCCCCACCCTAGGGAAGCACTATGCACCTGCATCTAGTACCGTACCATCCCACCCCACCCCACTCTACCCCCACCACAGGCTTTGTCTCCAAGCCCCCATGTCTGGGCAAGTGCCCCCTGTGTCACCATCACACCTATACACAGCTTTACCAACCACCCAACCACACTGTCCTGGCATGACCTGGCCACCAGTCAGCGAGTTCCCTAAGGTGGCGATTAAGTGTTTTAATTTTCTCTCCCTATGCTACACTTAATTCGAGTGCCTATTAATAAGTAGACAAGTACTAAACAAGGAAAAAACAAGGATAAACTTGAAGTTAGAAATTTTTAAATAGGCTAATAAAGTCATGAGCTAAATGAAGAAAGTTCACAGAGTCACCTTGGAAACTCTTTATTAAATGGCCTGGTTTAGAATTTAAGGAGTCAGCCCATGCAAAATTACATATTAAATAGTCTCTAAAACATCAGACACCAATAAAAGCAACAATTAAAAAAGTAAAGCCTAAACACATGTTCTATTTTCATAGCCTTGTTTTACATCTTCCTTTTTCTCTAATTTCATTTATCAGTTCTCCTTTCCTCAGCCATTTACACAAATTCCAATTAGATTTTGTATTTGTTTCTTGCCCAATCCCTTTCACCTCTAGTGTTCCTTCTATTCTTCTTTGAATCCAATAGAGAAATACAAATACTGTTTTTGTCATCTCTAGTAGCAATTTTGTCTGAAACGAAGGCATCGTCAAGAGTATTGAAGGTAATGACATCACCAGTCAGGCTGATAGATGAAACCGGGTGATTAGGCCGGCTGGCTGATTTCGTGATGCCAAGCAGCTAATCTGAACCACATGCACACTGAGCGGAGTCCTCGGCTAAGGCAGCAGGACAGTACTGGTGGCGGGGCAGCCATGGCCAGCCTTACCACATCCCCACTTGTGCCTGCCCCTCAGAGGAAGCAGACACAGACCGGGAGCCCAGGAAGCTGCTCTAAGGGACCAATGTGCAGGCTGCGGCTTTGACAGTGTGTGCGGCAGTGGTAGAAGTACCAGGGACAGGTCGCTGAGCTTACTGGCACAGGTACCAACTATGGGAGCCAAAATAGAGACTGCTGCTCCCTGGGCACTTCTGAATTTTAGATTTGCTCCAGAATAGGTTCTGAGACAGGCAGAGAAGCTGCTGAAGAGGAAATCCATAAGGATTTAAACTAGGTTTGTAGGAGAAATCATTTTTTTAAAGACAGTAATTGCTAGAAAAAAAATGGTTCTTTTAGTTACCCAAAAGTGGCATTTCAAGACCACTCAGGCATCAGGTCTTGTCAGCATGGAGAGGTTCATGCTGACCCTGAGCCGATGTCTTCTGGAATTCATAATCGAGCAAAAATAGTGTCCACAGTGAAGGGTCTGCTTGAAACAGCGTCTAAAACATCACAGAACTGAATACCCCTCCCCAAAAAAGAAAGAAAAAAAATAAGGCTGTTCCTTTAAGTAATCTTATTTCAAAACAGTGCAGAATGAGATTTCCTCTTACCCGAACCCAGGAGTTAAGTCTTGATTCTGTAGAACTCTGTGGTTCTTTGTTAATCAGACTACATAAGCACCATATTACAATTTTCTGGCTTTCATCTGTAGGAAAGAAAACTAAAATTAATGGTTTTATCAAATGGGGGAAAGAAGACAAACTGTTAAAAAAAATCCTTTTAAAACATCATTTAGAAAAATCTCAAAACTAGTTCACAGAAAAGGCCTCCAAGAGCTTGTGTGAAGCCTCTCCTGCGGGTTTCCTCTTCTTGTGGGCTCAGGCTCACTTGGGCTTAGCTCTTGTGTGGTCAGTCCCTTTCTGTAACAGCAGCAATTTTTAAAGCCAAACAGGGCCTTAAAATATGGAAAGAACTGGAAGAAGTCGGCTTTTCTTGAGAGCGGCTTTTCATTTCATATTTCAAACCACTAGTAATTTCGGCCTTTTTAAGGCAACATAACTGCCATAGGCAAGCCAGTCAGCATTTCCAATTTAATCTCTTAATTTTCTAATTTGCCAAAATATCCTTGCTTGTTAAAAACAAATTCAACATAAAGGACTGTTTTAAAACATATTCATTTTAGTACCAAATGATTTGGAGAAAATAGAAGCTTGTTACATGCTCCTTATTATTTAAAATTTAAAACTTCACTGAAAATGTGATGGAAATCCTGAACCTTGAAATCATACACTTGGCAGGAACCTCTATCTGATGAGCCACTTTCTTTTTCTGTTGGTGGTGATGGATTCCATTCCAGGTAGAGATTCTATAACTCAATTAAGAAATAAAAAAGAGGGGCTGGGGTTGTAGCTCAGTGATAGAGTGCTCGCCCAGCATGTACGAGGTGCTGGGTTCGATCCTCAGCACCACATAAAAATAAATAAAAATTTTTAAAAATAAACAAAAATGAGGCCTAAAAACTGAAGGTATCAGCACCAGAGCTGGAGAAGAGTAATGGCGGACTTCACAAAGAGGCCGCGGGCACCTGGGGTCAGTTCTGGGCAGGATCCCCTGCCACTCTCCTTCCCATTTTCTGTAGTCCAATAAACAGCCTTCTAAAGGCTTCCTTCATAAAGAAAAGAACACAATACTGACTGCAGGACGCCAGTCAGTATTTTCACCACTAAGCAAAGGGTGCTAATGGTAAATTCACCACCCACCCCCATCAACATTCATAGCTATGCCTGCCCAGTAACCAGTTCTCTGAACAAACAGGTGAGGGGCTATTCTGAGGGCCGTCCGTCCTTCCTCTGGCTTTTAGGAGCCCACATGAAGCACTAGTAGGCACTGGCTGGCCTGGGATCCCTTCACTTCAAGAGTCGCGTGATTTAACCTCAGCAGATGCTAGGCTCCTTCAGCTTCGTGTAGCAAGTGTGACAGACGGGTCCAGTGAGATGCAGACTCAGCAGCAGCCAAGACCAGAGCAAAGCAACGTGACGAGCAGCATCTCCAAGGCCAGGCAGAAGCAGAAGGAGAGAGAAAGGGAGAGAGAGAGAGAGAGAAAGAGAATAAAAAAGACAAGGAAGACACAGAGACAAGCCATTTGGAAATGAAGACATCAAAAGAGGAGAGAGAAGACAATAATGGAGAGAGGGAGAACCCTTTTATTCAGTGATGTCCTCTGCACACAACTCCCAAGTTCTGCGTGGCTGTCCAGCTCTGCCCTGGTGTCCAAGCAGAGCAGCAGCCCTGGCCCTCCCTGTTCACCGGCCTCCCCCTCCCAACCTCTGCAACTGAGCAGCTTAAACAACAGGTGCTTACTGTTTCAACAGAAATAGCTGGCGTCACAGTCTTAACAGCTAGAAATGAAACATGAAGAATTTGGTTTTCATCTGGAATTTCAGTTCAAGATATAAAACATCAGGTGGTAAATGTATGCTGCATATTTCTTTTCCCACCACTCAATTTTTGAATCTCAGTTTGCACTAAGATCTACAGTCCCTGAAATGAGCCTCGGGAAGTTTCCCCTCTCTTGTAAGTGCCCCAAAGGTGCTCCAGCCCTCATCTCAGGGCCTCTGGGGAGAAGCCTGCCCAGCGAGCGCCACTGCCTGGAGCGAGTGCTCGTAACTTCAGCAAGGACAGCAGTGGCGGAGAAAGCTGGGAGCTGGTTAGCTGTGCACTTCAATGCGTTCACTCTGGGCAAAGAGAGGCAGGCCCATATGCTGGACAGGAGTTTCCATGGCTCTTCTTGTTTTTGTTTTTAAGAAAGAGAAAAATTAAAAATTATACAGTTGTTGAACTGAGCGTGCAGAACCGCTCAACACATGGGAAACACCGTCTTTTGGGTTTAGGCTCCATAAACCCTTTCTCTCTCTCTCTCTCTGTCTTCCTTGTTCACAGCCCTAGCCTCTGGACCTCACCACCTCACTCCTCCCTCTTCTATCCCAGCCTCCTGTGCCTCCTCTCTTACCTCCCCTGAGTTTATTTTTATATGGAAAGTTAAACCAATTTTCTTCTAAAAAGCAATTATTAGACCCACAAAGCATCTCACGGGTGCTGGTAACTAGAAGTCATTCAACAGCTTCTTTTCCTTTCTCCTGCTATCAGCCTCGCTCAGTGTTTTTCAAATGTCTGGTCATGCTACACAAGGGGTTGTAAAATCAGTTTTGGGTCATGAATACCATTTTTTAAACAGCACAGTGAAAACAGATTCCTCATAAAAATGAGCATTCTTTCATGAATTGTCTGATCCCGTGAGTGAGCATGTATGCATAAAGCACATGTGTGCACGACTGTACATACACATGTATACAAATGCCTTTCTGGTCGAAGATGTTTGAGACACTGGCCTCACTACAATACATGGACTTGGAGCAGGGAAGCATGGCCTTGTGGGCAAACAGCGCTGGCTCACTCATCTGCCAAGGCGGATCAAGAGCCGGAAGGAGGTGATGGGAGGAAGGAGAGGAAGAGGCCTGAGGAAGCAGAACAGAAGAGGGTGGGGCGGAGTCAGGGAGGCCGAGGGGCGGAGTGTGCAGTGACCCACACGTTGTGCTCACAGGGCCACGTGTAGAAGTGTCCCCTTCCCACTAGTGCCTGGCTCTTCTAAGCACTTATGACAGGATAGACATGGGAAATTTTTCAACTCTTTAAAATATCAAAGGGGAATATTCATTTTATCTTTGGTTCTAATATTGTTACATAATTCAATTAATCTTTTATTTTAAAAATCTGAAAAGCAAATATTACGTGAGCTAATAATACAGTCAGCCCAAGGCAAGTGCTCCTTCGGGGTGCCTGCTCTGCCCCATGCCAGGCCTTAGGAAGACAAAGAGGAGGCCACAGCTCCTGCTCTCAGAGGCATTCAGTCTTCCGGGGCATCCAACAGTGAGTAAGTGTGACACCAGAGGAAGATGCTGGGGGCTGTGGGGACACTGAGGTCCCTGCCTCACCCCAGGAAGGCTGTTTCAAAGGAGACCTAAGGAGACAAGGGAGAAGAGAAGCACAAGGAACTTACCCCAGGAGTTGCAGGCCCTGACCCCAAGGCCCCAGGCACTGTCAGTGACAGGACCTGACCACAAAGTCTGTGACTTGTTGAGGAAGACGAAACAGCAGATGAGGCAGGAAGCCAGAGAAGGAATTACCCCCACACACACACGTCCTCAACTTTCTCAAACTGCATAAAACCAGAATGTCACCCCTATGTAAGAGCAAAGCCATGGCTAGACTCAGACTCTGAAGAATGATTTTACAACACGGGAAACCATTTGGGAGTTAACAGACTATCTTGAGAAACAAAGACATTAAGTTGGTATTGTTAATCACTTTACGTGGAGTTAAAGATGAGGTGCAGGGGGATGGGAACGGGAAAGACAGTGGAATGAATCGGTCATGAGTCTCCTATGTTCATATATGAATACACGACCAGTGAAACTCCACATCACGTACAACCACAAGAATGGGAAGTTAAACCCCACGTATGCGTAATATGTCAAAATACTGTCATGTATACCTAAAAAGAACAAATAATTTTTTTAAAAAAAGATGAAGTGATGAAAGTGATTACGGACAAAAATTATTGTTTCAATCACCTGTAAGTTTCTGCCCTCTGTTTCAAGGAGGCCTGTTTTCTATGGATCTGCAGGAGGGGGTGTGTGTGCACGTGTACATGCATGTCTTCTACACAAACACACACACACACACACACACACAATAAAGGACATCTTTCTGCAATACAGCAATAAATACACTTGTTAAGTGAAAACCAGAGAAAGATTTATAATTAAGTCTCTGTATGTTGTTCAAGCAGAAATTAAAACTGTCATTACAAGTTTGTGTTTTGAGAAGACACAGCTTGGATCCTTACCATATGCTAAGATAAAAGGATTCTGGCAGGTTTTTGTTAACAGTTGACGGATTGTGGGGAATCTTTCCATGATCGTAGCAGGATCCTGAAAAGAAAAGTAAGCTTTGGTCAGCAAAAGGGCATCACAAAGGGAAGCGGCCTGGATGCTCCTTACTTGGTGTATTTTAGAAAAGCAGACAAAAAAGAGAAAATCTTCAGGAAAGAATTCACGAACAGTCTAACAAGCAGTCAAGCATCCTACTAAACCGTAGTCAGGAAAGGCTAGTCTATCTGAAAATAACTTAGGCTGAATAAGAGCTTTATTTTATTTTATTTCCTAGAGTTTGAGGCCAGGGGTGCTCTACCACTGAGCTACATCCCCAGCCCTTTTTAGTTTATATTTTGAGATTGGGTCTTACTAAGTGGCTGAGGCTGGCCTTGAACTTGTGATCCTCCTACCTCAGTCTTCCGAGTCCCTGGGATTACAGGCGTGTGCCACTATGCCTGGCTTGAGTAAGAGTTTTAAGAACTATTGGTGATTAATAACTTTATAATCCTATATCTTCATATTGCTTTTTAACTCTAGCAAAATAAGGAACATCATTAATCCAGCTCCAGTGAGGCTATTTCAAAGAATGTTTAAAGGAACAAGAACTCTGGAATTTGTATAAAAAAAAGAAAGAAAGAAAGAAGAAAAGAGAGAGAGAAAAAACGCAGCCAGAGCCCAAAGATACCAATCTCTGCTCATTACAATTTTGACTGCTGTATGCTAAATGACATCATACTTAATCTAAAACAACCTAAACCTTGAGACAAACCAAATAGAAAACAGCCTAAGATTAAAAAATACACGTGCTGTTGTACAATTGGCCCTTTTCCCACTTCTTTACCTTTCATGAAAGTTCAAAAATAAGACCCAACTGAGATCATGTGCAGGTAAGTTGAAACGATAAGCATTTCCTGCTGCTGCAGCAATAAATTCCTCACGTGTGTCTCAGCACCAAGGCTGGCCCAGACTTTCTGGGACCACGTTAAGGTCAAGTTACATACATCTGACTACACAGAGTATCTGCCCTTCTGATTTCCAAAGACACGTGAACTCATATTATCAACAGAATTATTCTTCAAATTTCCTACTTGCTTCTTTGATTAATGGCAGGGAAGCATAACATGAGAACATATATATTAGTAAATGATTTGCCTTTTCTTTTTGAAATTTACAAGTACATACAAAACAAATGATATATTTATAATAAAAAAACACGTGCTGTCGTAAAATATCTATTAAATCAAACAATATTTTGTCAAAAAGAAAACTTAACATTTCACAAATGATTACGAACAATAGTGAAGATCTTTTCTAATATTTATTAGAAAAGATCACTTGAAATATTAGAAGAGACCCTACTATCTTAACAGGTCTGAGTATTAGAACAGATCTTAGTACCTCTCAGGACAGTCCACCTGAGAACAGGGCTGAGGAAAGGGTAAGCACTTTAGCGAACTCTTCAAGATGTGAAGGGCACAAAGGCTTTGAAAAAAATCCCATTTATTACTTGAAAACAGCATCAGAGTCTTATTTATTTAATAGCCTTCTTGGCAATACATGGGTCCCCATGTTTATAATAGCACAATTTACAATAGCCAAACTCTGGAACCAGCCTAGGTGTCTGTCAACAGATGGATGGATAAAGAAAATGTAGTAGAGATGCACAATGGAGTTTTATTCAACCATAAAGAAAAATGAAATTATGTCATTTGCAGGAAAATGGATGAAACTTGAGAACATTATGTTAAGTGAAATAAGCCAAGCTCAGAAGGTCAAGGGTTGTATATTTTCTCTCGTATGTGGAAGCTAGAGAGGAAAAAGGAAAAGAAAGGTGGTAGGTGGGGCCTCATGAAAAGCGAAGGGAGATGAGTAGAGCAGAAAGCAACCAGGGAGACGGAGGAGGGGAGAGAAATGCTGGGGAATGATACTGGCCATGTTATACTGTGAGCATGGACAAATACATAACACCACACCCACCATATGTACAACTACAGTGTACCAGTAAAAATATTGAGAATAAATAAAAGTAACCTGCATGGCTTGGGGTGTAGCTCAGGGGTACAGTGTTTACTTGGGTTCTATCCCCAGCATCACACACACACACAAAAAAAAAATAAAAATTTAAATTATGCAAACACAGGCATACAGTAAAAAAGAAAACATATATACGAAAAAATAAAAACTTTCTTGGTCAGAAAGTCTCATGACAATACAGCTACCAAGAAGAAAAGACGAACATAAAAATAAATCAGAGAAGGAAACCGGCTCTTGTCTGCTGTACCATAGGAAACTCATCTTTCTAATCCTTAAGTGCACGAGGTCAGTAGAGTCTCTAACCCTGGACAGCACTGTGGCCTGGTGGCATCTGGTGGAGTCCCTGATGTCATAAAACAATTTCACTATTTTGGTCCACTACTCACCGCCTCTTTCAGGGCTTCATATATCTGTCTCAGGAATTCCTGGAACCGAGGAAGGTGAAGACAGGTGTCCTGCTGGGTCTCCAGAGTGCAGACCTGGTCCCACCCAGAGAGCTTCTGCAGCCAGAACTGACAGTCAGACGCCAGGTCTCCAGACTCCTGGGCCATGTCAGAAAGAGGGAATGGACGTCGCTCCACAGCAGCCTGCCAGCACTGAAGGGACTGAGCACACGTGGGATCTGTAAGAAAGGGTGCAAGGACGCACTCAGAGAGCCTCTCTCACGAGTGCCTTCATGATCCACCCATGGGTGAAGGGGACTCCAGAGACTGAAACTGCCTGCCTTCAATGCTGGAGTCATCTCTGAATCCCTCAGAAATGTGTCACCCAGCTGTGGCCCTGATTCTTACCATCTGAACTTTTTATCATGAACAGTATCATTAGATTAGAAGTCATTATAGTTCCCATAGGCACGTGCTGATTATGTACAAAAAGCACAGCTGATAATACTTGAAATCTTCTTTTTAAGATTGGGCTATTTTTAAATGTTCTGAATATGAAGTTCCTTTGAGAATTTTAATGTAATGGGAAATCAAAAACATCCATGGGTATTTAATAGTAGTCAGTGCCTAAGAAATGTTTTTGAAATTCTTATATTTTGTATGCATTTCTGGCTTCTCATTTAGGTGTGAAATAAATCTCTATGTATTACCGACTAATAGATTTTCTTCCCAGTTTCTCTATTTCTTAGAAAACATAAAAGATTCCATTCCACATGTATCAATTTAAACAATCTGCTTAACTAAAATATGTTTCACACACTTGCTCTCAATTGATTCACAAGAAAGAGCCATATTTTAATAAAATGTAATAAATTCCACTTAGTAAGCCGGTATACTTGCCTGTGCGGAGAACGAATTGGAGAAGGACAAATGGAAGCTGTGACACTCCAGGAAAGACACAAGGCTGGAATGGTAGTGGCAGTGCCATGTGGCATGCTGTTCTGCTCATGACCCCTCTCCCACAGCTTCCAGTGTTGGAAAATATAGTCTCCTGAGTCTGCCTTCCTACCCCTGAAGTTCAGGTTAGAAAGCACAGGGGGTCTACAGGGACCACATGCTACAGGGGAGCTGGGTCAGTGGACTCCAGGGCCCCCACCCAGCCAGTGTCTCCTCATGGGAAGCAGGGTGGCCAGAAGGGAGGCTCCTTCCACAGGTGCAGCTTTCACAGACTCTTGCTCTTCCTGGGGCAGAGGTGACACTCAGGAATCTCATTTCAAGAGAGACTTCACTGGGAGTGGTAAATCAATTGAGTTTAAATCCTTGGCAGCAATAATTAACAGATAAAATGCTCCTAGTCAAACACCAAAAACATCAACAAAGGAGGTTCCCATTACTAAACAGGAAAAGGAGTCAAAGTTTAAGAAGATTGCACAATTTGGCTTCAGTGCAAAAACAAACAAAAAAAAAAAACAACTAGACCAAGAAGATGAAAATGGTACTTAACAGTTTATGATTTTTGAGAAGGACCAGATGAAAAAAGAAAACACACAAAAAGTGCTTCAACAATAGAGGAAACATGCTTTCTGTCAAAATGGCCCTTATCAGGCAAACATCCAGGCACTGGCCCCGTCTCCTCCCATCTCTCATGGTCCCACTCCTCCAGGCCATCACGACACCTGTCAATTCTACCTCTGAGTAAAGCCATGTGCTCTGCCTTGACTGCACCCTTCCTTACATGGCACTGCCACCACCATTCCAGCCTTGTGTCTTTCCTGGAGTGTCACAGCTTCCTTTTGTCCTTCTCCAATTCATTCTCCACACAGGCAAAAACAATTCTTGCAAGTGTGTTACTGCACTGGCACATTGTTCTGCTCATGACCCCTCTGCCACAGCTTCATGGAAAGAGGTCCAACTCCATGTTAGGAAAGCACGAACTCCCTACCAGAGGCTCAAGGCCCTGCAAAAGGAGGCTCCGTACCCTCCAGCCTCCCTTGCTTCTCTCCCAGCTCACCAGTCCCCCACCCCTCACTAGCACACCAAGCCTCCCCACGAGCAGGCCCTTCCACCAGCGGCCTGTACAGCTCAGCAGGCTGGCAACAAACCTTCTCTCACAGGTTGCCTTCCTAGAGTTTGAAAACGATATGCCTAGGTGTCGCTGTCCTGATATTTATCCTGCTCAGATTCACGACCTTCCTGGATCTGTGGTTTGGTGTCTAACCTCAATTGGACAAATTCGTAGTCATCACTGTTTCAAATACTTCTCCTCCTCCGTGGACTCCCATCACATGCGCGCCATGTCTTTTGCTGCTGTCCCTCGTTCTTGGATGTGCTGTGGGTGGTTCTAGTTCTGTTTCACCTATCTTTGTTCTTTTAACTTTTCAGTTCGGTTTCTGTTGAGATATCACCCAGCTCACAGACTCTGTCCTCAGTCATGTCCCATCCACTAGTGAGCCCACTAAAGACTTCTTCATCTTGACCCTCAGCGTTTCCGTTTGGTTCTTTCTTCGAGCACCATTTCTGTGGCCACCTGACCATCTGTTCTTATATACTGTCTACTTCTCCATCAGAGCCCTTGCACAGTGATCATAGCTATTTCCGCTTCCCTCTCTGACAAATCCAGCCTCCCCACCCTCTCTGGTTCCTATGTCCAGTAACTCTCTAAACTGTGTGCTTTCTCACTTTTTCCTTGGAAGCTGGACATGACGGACGGGATAAGAGGAGCGGCTGCCAACAGGCCTTTTCTTGAAGTGGCTGTGAGGCGTGCAGGGAGGCGTGGCCTCATCTTCCAGGTGGCAAGGCTCACAGAATCAGCTGGCCCCACACAGTGTGGCTGCAGGATGACAATAGTGGGTGGAGGCTGAGTGCTTCCCTCCTCCCACACAGAAGGCTAAAGTGGATTGGTTCATATGCTCCCACTTCTGCTCTGAGAACTGCCCCTCCTCCTTGCTGTGTGGCCTTGTGGGACTGTGTCTCAGGCTGTGCATCCTTGGAAGGCAGGGTGTCACAGAGGCCCAACAGAAGTCGAATCAACAGGAGACTTGTTCGACAAACAAAAACGAGGAGAGGAACACCGAGCTACACTGCAGTTCCCTATTCACCAACGTGTGGCTCCACCCAAACCACCTCCATCTTGGGACACTGCGGCCACCGCCACAGCCCTCCCCACATGGTAATCTCCACAGTGGGACATCTGACAGTGCCAGGAGGCAGCTGCTTGTTGCAGCACTGCATACCACACTGCTATATCACCAAACAGGCCACCCATACCACCCTACGATCCATCCTTCCAGCCCCATCTCTGCAAACAGTTGCCTCCACCACGGGACACCTCCACCGCCATCTTGAGTTACCTCTGCTACTGCCTCTGCCATCTACATCTGGGGCAGCTTCCACCTTGGGACACACACTGGGGCCTGGAAGCCCAAAATCAAGCCCAAAAACAGACTTGACACTACTGCCACCACTAACAAAGGACACAGCCACTTCCATGTAGGGACAATAGCCAGGACCTGGAAAACCATCACGAAGGTCCTGGTGGGCCTGGTTGCACCAGAGGTACCTCCTCTAGGTGAGCTCACAGTCACCATCCTGTTGCAGAGGCAACAGGGAGCCTTGCATGGAGTTGCCTCTCTCTTTTTTCTCCTGCTAACAGCCAAATTCTTTTGATTACCCTTTCACTAGTCCTATATTCTAACACCTCTGTATTCTCACATCCTGTCTCATAAACATCACATTCTACCCCCTGCCACTCTGTCACCAGTAGAAACTGTAAATCCTTATGCAAACCTACTGGCTATATGGTAGAAGATTACGCAACTGATCATTTCTATTTATAACGACAAAACTGTAAATGTCAAAATAGAAGCTAATTGACTTATGGCTGCATATTGGTTGCATTGGATGCTATAAACATTGATATCCCTCTTAACGGTGAGATATTGGTAACCTGCAGGGACACTATAAGATTATGGGGTAGAAGCTTCAATACCTCAGATTTGCACTGCAAAAGAGGAAGACACATAGACAACATGAAAAAACAAGGGAGGAAAGTGCCCCAACAAATCAAGATATTACAACAATAGAATCCATTGAAAGTGCAGTAGATGAAATGTCAGAGAAGGAGTTCAGAAGGTTCATAATTAAAATGATCTGCAAATTAAAGAATGACCTAAGTGAGCAAATACAGGCAAAAATTGATTACTCTAAAAAAGAGATAAGAGAGCAAAATACAGGCAACCATTGATAACACGATCAAAGAGATATGAGACTAAATACAGGTAGCAAAAGATAACTTCAAGAAAGAGATTCTAGAAAAAAAAAACAAAAATCCTTAAAATGAAGAAAACAATAAACCAAATAAAAAACTCAATAGGAAGCATCACCAACAGATTAGATCACTTGCAAGACAGAACCCCAGGCAATGAAGACAAAATATACAATCTTGAAAATAAAGTTGACCACACAGTGAAGATGGTGAGAAACCATAAACAGAACATCCAAGAATTATAGGATAACATCAAAAAACCAGATCTAAGATTTATGGGGATAGAAGAAGGCACAGAGATTCAAACCACAGGAATGCACAATCTCTTCAATGAAATAATATCAGGAAATTTCCTAAACATAAAGAAGGAATTGGAAAATCAAGTACAAGAGACTTACAGGACACCAAATGTACAAAATTACAACAGATCCACACCCAGACACATTATAATGAAAATGCCTAGTATACAGAATAAGGATAGAATCTTAAATGCTGCGAGAGAGGAACCAGATCACATATAGGGGGAGACCAATTCAGATCTCAGCAGTTTCAGCCCAGAACCTCAAAGTAGCAGGAGATCCGAGAAAAACATACACCAAGCTCTGAAAGAAAATGGATGCCAACCAAGAATCTTATATCCAGCAAAATTAAGCTTGAGATATAAAAACCTTCCATGATAAACAAAAGTCAAAAGGATTTACAGCAAGAAAGCCTGCACTACAGAACATTCTTGGCAAAGTATTCCATGAGGAGGAAATGAGAAACAACAACGAAAATCTACGAAGGGAGGAACTACACTAAAGGAAAGGCTAATCAAAGGAGAAACCAACTCAAGTTAAAACCAAAAATAGGGCTGGGGCTGGGGCTCAGTGGTAGAGCACCTGCCTAGCACTTGTAAAGCACTGGGTTCGATCCTCAGCACCACAGAAAATAAATAAATAAAGGTATTGTGTCCATCTACAAGTAAAACAATAT